TGGATTTCCAGCTGGCTGAGCTTCGACTTCACTTGGTTTTGCTTCTGGTGATCCTTCTTTGTGCTCACCAGGTTCTACAACTTTCTTTACTAGTGCTCTCCTCAACAGTTCAGGTTTCACTGGCTGAACTTCTCCTTCAGTTGGTTTTGCTTCTGATGATGCTCCTTGATTTGCTGGTGCCTCATTCAAGGATACATGTTCCGCTGGTTTGGCTTCTTCTACACTTGATTGCACTTGTGGTGGTGCATTAAAAGTACGAATGAGCGGTCTCGCTTTCATAACTGGCGGTTGTAGTGCATGTGGAGGTTCCGTTGTTAGAATTTCTGGTTCATCTGGTGAAGGTGCTGGGTTGTCTCTCTGCATCATTGACATTCCTTTAACTGCGTTCTTTCTACATCCGCAGCTTAGAAGAAGTAGAGTTACGATAAAGTATTGTATTTTCATGGCGTCGTTTTTCTTGGAAAAAAAAAATGATAGTGCCGATTTGTTACTCGCTTATTTATAGTTTTTTTGATTCCATTCAGCGCCTACAAAATCGCAACTGGTGCCTTTTTCTTTCTCTCTTTGTTTCGTTAGACTGTGAAAGTGCAAAATAAATTAGGATGAGCATATGTGTTTAATGTGACGATTAGTGGGTTATAACCCTTCTCATATATATATATCATGAATCGTTTAATTGTTTGGAAAGAGCGTATAAGAAAAAAAAAAGCATTTAAAAATGTTCTAATGCTGGCTTTTGTTCATGAGACACAGATGACGTTGATACTGGGATAATTATTTTTCTATCATCATTTTCTTGTCCTTCATGATATCTAATTGATGATGCAAGCGGAATAAAAAATGCACTCTCATCAAGATGTTGTCCAATTTGACGAAATGTTGTTTCAATTTGTTGAGTTTTGACAGTTTCTGTAACAGTTTCTTCTTTTTCTTCTTCACGTGAAACAATATTTTTTTGGTCATTTTGAGAATTAGTTGACACTAAATTATTTAAAGTTGATGAAGATGATAAAGATGATACACGAGGTGTAAGATGTTGATGAGACATATTTGTTGATGATAGAATAGCATCATAGGTACCACCACTTTTAGCATTAGTTTGTTGTAAACGAACAAGGTCTTTGATTTCGAATTCGACTTCATCAACACCAGCTGTTTTATATTCATCTTCATCTTCTAAGGGTGGTAGAGCTAAATATAAAAGAGAAAAAAAAACATAAATAAAAAAAAAAGTTTATTATAAATAACGTACGTTGTTTTCTTGGTGTAAATACACGAATTGTTTCATAGATTGATTCTGAATCATGTCCACTCATTTCACTAGTTGTTGAACCATCATCAGATATTACAGATGATTGTCTTCCTAATTTTTTATGTTGAATACGTGGAATTTCAGGAGAAACTGGTCGATGAGTATAAATAGTTGGTTGTTTTTCATATTTAACATCTTGTTGTAATAATGATGGATTATTGGTAACAATTGCTGAAGAAGCTTTTTTCGGATTTTGATCATTAAAATTTTCGTCTACATTTACATTTTCCCAATCTATATAGAATAAATATTTTTATGAATAAACATTAGAAAAAAAAAATTTTTACTTGGATTATCAGTTATTCGTTCAGCTGCCATATTAACTGTTGTTACTGTTAATCCAGGAAGTCTTTGAATATCTTGATCATGTTGTAAACGATTTGATGTTTCAATTAATGGTTCTTTTGGAATAAAATAATTTTGTTCTTCATTAATATAATAATTCTTTGTAATATTACGTTGAATATTTGTTTCAACATTTTCTTTGACATCACCTGACAATGCATCAGAAACAACAGTTATTGGATGACGACTAAATTAATTTATAAAAAAAAAAAATTTCTTTAAACAATAAAGAAAAAGAAAATTTACCCATTAGCAAGTAAACGAACACCATTTGATTTTTTATTTATATCATGATTTCGAATTTCATCTTCAGAAATAATTTCTGAACTAGATTCAAATGCTTCATTATTAGCACCAATAACTGCTGCTGTTACATAAGGATTTGTATCACCATAAAAATCATCTTGAACTATACGACGTTCATGAAGATTTCGAAATATACCTTTATTTCCACCGTATATAGCATAAGGAGGAACTGGTGGTAATGGAGCTGTTGCAAAATGTTGATCTTTTCCAACATATATATTTTTTCGACCTTTAGCACTACCTGAACCAAAAAATTGTTCATGTAATGATTTACGCTAAATAGAAAGATAAGCGAAGAAAAGAAAATTTCTGTTGAGATAAAAAAAAAAAAATTAATCACATCTGCTGCATATTTTCTATGTCGATACCATCGACAACAGTATCGTAAAAGATATAGAAGTAATAATAACCAACAACAAAGTAATGCTAATAGAGCCCAAATAGCTAAAGCAGTATTGAGCCACCATGGATAAGGAGAACTAAATAAAAAATTCTATATTTAATTTATCAGTAAAATATTTTTAAATAAAACAAAAAAACAAAGGAACCAAATAGGAATTACTTACGTTCCTGTACCACTATAAGTTGGCAATGGTAGTAAACCTTGGTCTGGTGTTACAATATTACCCATGATTTTGTATGAAAAAGAATATCTAATCGATGTATATAGTTTGTCATAGCTTTTTTTTTTCTCTTTTATTCATTCTTTTGAATTATTTATACCAACGCAAAATCAAATGAATTTTTGATTAGGTAATAGAAAATTAATCTTTATATAATGCACTTTCTTTTATTTCTTTATTCATTTACAATCTAAAGAAATTTCATATTATTTATCAATTAATATTTATTCACTATGAAGTAGAATATTTCTTTTTTTTTTTTTTTTTTTGTATAGCTATTTATATTACTCATAGGATAAAATCTGCAAATAATATTTTATGAGAAGATAATATTGACTGTTGAATAAAAAAAAAGGAAAAACTTTTAATTATTCCAATTACAAGCGTTCTATATAATTATTTGTTTATTTTTTTTCTTTTTTAATTAAATATCATATGGTCCTTTCGGATATACATTTGACCTTGAAGAATTAATATGTGAAAATGGTTGATGACGTTGTAATGCATTCCAAACATTTTGTACAGCTTGATTTCTATGTCCATTATATAATAATGGTGTATCTTCTTCAACAAGTCGACATGCTGATACAACTTCACCAATAATACGTCGTTCAGTTGGATAACTACTTTGAATAGTTGTACTAGGTAATGATACTGATGTTGGATAACGATGTGATTCAAAACAGCATCGTTCATAGGGAAATAGTGAAATACCACTTCTAGAAAGTGCAACATTAATATGACGAATATCATCAAGTAAAAATGTTGGAACAGATTTTGAAGTATAATCACTTAAATAAGGACTACTACTACGTGGATAGAATTCCTGACGAGGTAATGATGATGATGATGATGTTACAACAGGATCATAACCATAATCATGGACAGAAGTATTCGGTTGTGATACGGGTGGTGGTGCGAATGATGGTGCGGGTGGTGGTGCGAATGATGGTGCGGGTGGTGGTGCGGATGGTGGAATCTCATGTCGTGTAATATGACTTGCAATACCTGTCCGACGTCGTTCACGTTCTAAACATTCACGTAAACATTGTTCAAATTGTGAAAAAGTATTAGTTCCCAAATAAGATATTGGTCCATCATGTGAATGAACTGTTTCAAATGTACTTTCTTGTGTTCTTGGTATTCCTGATGGATGTGTATATGTTGATATAGTAGGTTGATTTATGTCGATAGTTGGTTCAGTAATTCGAACATTTGTACCATTTGAGCTTATTGGTTTCGATGAAGAAGTTTGTGGTGTCATTTCACTACCAATACGTCGTGCATAACTATTTTGTTGATCTGGATTGACACGACGTAAATTTGGTCTTGAAAATGTTTTATCATCAGATCCATCTGATACATTAGTACTACCATGAGTAGGTCTTAATGTTGATTGATAAGGTCCAGTTCTTGGTGTTGTTGTTGTTGTTACCGTTGGTTGAGTAGTAGATGGAAGCGGTGGTGCTGGTGGTGCTGGTGGTGGTACTGATGAATCTATATATATATATATATATTCAAAGAATATGTTTATTATTTATTAATTGAAATATACTTGAAGGACCAGCTGGTCTTGAATAAACATAATCACTTTTAGGTCGATGTGGAAAACGAAATTTTAATGCAGATATATATGGATCTTCATTACGTGGAGGTGGTCGATAAGTTCTTTCTTGTTCATCGATATCGTCTAATGTTGGATCATACTCATTATCTTCTCTTTCATGTTCATCAATAGTTGATGAACGTAGTTGATAAGGACGACCATTTGTTCTTGCTATGGATCCATTACCATATGAATCAACTTGTGATGTAGTTGGCGAACGTATTGATTGTCGTTCAGTATTTAACATGAGTATAGATCCAACTATGTAAAATGAATTTGATTCAAACACGCGATACTGTTAGAGAAAGACCTTGACAATAACAAACGCCTTGCTCTTTTCCTTTTTTTTTTTTTCTTTTTATGTGAAGTTACTACGTATAGTATTTTGTTGTCTTAGAAATCGATAGCGACGTCCCTGTGTGGTTTTTTTGATGATAGTAACTGTCGTATATACAGCGACTAAGAAAAGAACGACCATGGGATAGGTGAGCAATGAAAGAAAAATTTTATTGATACGCATCGAAGCGTTCTATTTCTTTTTCTCTTTCTACTTCAAATGAATATTAATACAAAAAACATCGACCTTCATTTTAATAAAGAAATAGCACGTGTATCAATACGATTAGTCATTTATTAATTAATATATTTTTCTTTTTAATACATAATTAAAAAAAAAAAGGTCATGAATCATGTTCTGATATTCTCAAAAATAAAATAAAATAAAATAGATATTTTAATATTTTTTCATTACATTATGTATCCAATCAATATCAACTGAAACTGATGCAAATGCATTATCATGATTAACATTTTGTGAACATTGATCAAGACCAAAACTTGCAACACCAAATAAATGCCATTTCCATATAGTTTGATTATTATTTGATTTAATACCAGCACGTACCATTAAACCAGTACCTGAATCTCCATTACAAATATTATTTCCACGTTCATTTCTTCCACATATATGTAATTTTTTATCAACCATTAAATGACGACATGAACGTGGTGATATTCGTATTCTTGCTTTTCGTGGTCGATTAACAGCTGTTGAATTAGGTGATGAATGTCCCCAACCAGCTGTATATGCTAATGTACCATCATTTAATTTATCTGTAGATTCAGGTAAACAAGCTATATCAATTGAATTTGATAATGGTATTGGTCTAGCTAATTTAATTAATGCTAAATCATGAATAGGTGCTGGTGATATTCGACTTATACGAAATTTTGGATTAATTAAATATAAAATTGGTTGTTTTATATATTCATTTTGACTTGTACGTAATCGATCATAATGTCCAAGAAAAAGATTAATACCATGAGCTGGATAAAGACGATTTGTTTTACTATCAAACATACAATGAGCAGCAGTTATTATCCATTGTGGATGAATAAGTGTACCACCACAAAGTGTAACCACATGTGAATAAATATTCGAACGACTTTCTATACGAACCTTTGAAAAGAAAATTTTTCATTGAAATCAAAAAAATAATAAATTTGAATACTTACAAGCCATGGATATTCAGCTGGACGTAACGTATTTTTAACACTTGTACTTACTTTTAATTGTAATGTTCGTTTTTTTAATAAATGATCATTTTTAATTAAACCACATTTATTTAAATCATAAGTTTGTGTTGGTTCATTATCTTCTTCTAGATCAGTATTATTTACTATTGAAATACAATTATTTCCTCCACATGGTTCAACAATCATTCGACGTCCTCCAGCAATTGTATAAGAATTAAAACAATTACGACAAGAAGGTGTATACTAAATATTTTTCAATTAAAATATAGAATAAAATCAAAAATCAAAATTTTATTACAATTTTTTCTCTTGATATTGATGATGGATATGGAATATGTATAATATCACGAGAATTATCAAAGAATGGTATTCGAATTGACCATAATGATTGACTAGATATCTATTTAATAAAATATAAAAAGTTATTATTATAATCTCTATAAGATTAATATATATGAAACACGATGTAGCTGCTTCTTGCTAAGCAGAGAAATATTGTTTTATGGAGTATATTTCTTCACCATTCTTTTCGTTAATCCTCTAGAAAATAGTTCATAATCTATAATAAGACTTTATTCATATATGGTCTTTGATAGTATATCAACAACGTCAGTGGAAAGAGAAGAGAGATGCAAATTTCTACCTTGAAGTGGATCAGAAAAGCTTAAGACACTTCTCACTTAGGTTTTTTTTCTGTGAAAACAAAGAATGTAAGAGGACATATTTTGAATAGTCATATAAAGTTAGAGTCAAGGTCTATACAAATCATCTATTCTAGATGTAATTAATTGTAGCATGAAGAAAAAAAACTAATTTGAATTTTTCTCTAGCAGACAATTTTCAAAAATATACCATTAGATGCTAGAGAAATTTTTTATTATAAATTTTGATTTTCAAGTATTCACTTAGAAAAGAGCATTAAAAATTGAATAACATTGTGTATTTTTGTTTTGTAATAAATTTTTGTAACAGGATTTCTTTAAACAAAATAGCAGAAAATCATCGTTGAAATTTATGATCAAAAATAAAATGGTTGTATCAGATGATGAACACATTATACAGAAGAATACAAGATCTCATTTGATTGTCTGTTTATCGATCGTGATATAATCGACGAAATATTAAGTATCTTAAACTTTTGTTTACTATAAAAAAAATTCAAGTAGCACTGAAAAAATATGTCACTAATCTTCTTTCTTTTTACATAAAACATCAAAGTAAGAAATATCTCAAACTTTTACAGTCTACTTTATATATTTAGATTATGTTTCATAAAATCAAATAAATTAATCTAAATATCAACTTACACATTTATTAAATATAATAAATAATATAAAATATTGCATTGTGTCTATTTGTGCGTGTGCGTGTATATGTGTGTAAAGTATTCTCTATAAAATAAAAAGATCTATTCTTTTTTTTTTTCTTACATTTTATATTATACGTCTTCTTCATTGATAGAAAAAGAAAAATGAGTGCATGCCGTAATTCAATGCTCTCGTTGTTTTTCAATTAATAAAATTGTCTTATCATTTTCTTCTGTCTATTCTTTCCAGACATGTGAAACATCAAAACAAAAACGTTAGAATTTCAAATGAATAGAGATATATTGAAAGTTCTATTAAAGAAAAAGAAAATCTATTTAATTCAAACCAAAAAATTCTTCATAATTGAATAAAATATTTTTTTTTGATCCTACTTATTAATATTGAAAATATTAAATTTATTTCTCAAGAGGAAAAAAAAAAGAATTCCAAACGATTGAACAAAATGAAAACTTAGGAAATAACTTTTTATTATTTCCGTCTCAAATGACATATAACTAATATCTATTCTGAAAATAATAGTTGATTAATTTCATTCCAATAGATACTTTTCGAATTGTCAAACTGTGAAAAATATTTTTAATAAACATTATAATACATTAGAATAGAAACGTATCATAAGACCAATTTATTACGCTTTATTTTTATAATGAATGACATTTTTTTGATATTTAAAACGATATAAAAAGCTTATCAGTACAATTCCTTTGGTGCGAATATGTTGAACTCGCATGAGTTCTTCAGTCTCATGATACTAATATATAATGGTATCAAGTGAAAAATCTCTAGTAGTAGATTACAGATTTTTTTTTTGTAGTAGACTACTATGAGCTCTTGGTTCCTAGAAACACAAACCCATAGTGTGCTCGTGTTACAGAATCGAAAATTGAGACTACTATTGACAGTTTTAGACTGATATCAATAAGGAAAAAACTCTACTGATCGCAACACTATCATGTGCGATTCTTTTGTGTTGGATAAAAATTATTTTTAAAATAGATTATACGATGAAACAATATCATCAATTCTATCCGACATGGAATTCTTTGCTGGAAGTCACCAATGATGATAATGAATCAATGCATAAAGCCATTGGAGTCTCTTTCAGTATTTATAAAGACAATGTTTTGCAACAAGGATATTTTGTTTTTCTACAAAAAAAAAAGATATAGAACATATCAGAAGAAATTTTCCCCACTATTGATATGATATCATGAAAAGAAAAGAACCAAATAGTTGAGCCTGATTTGAATGAGAAGTTATTTGCGTTTCGCCGAGGAACGATAATACAAGGCATAATAATTGCATTCATCATCATCCGATAACTTTGTCTGTGAATATATGAAGAGGAAATTTCTCATACGAGATGTACCTCAGGCTTCACCAATTGCGTGCAACTATACGATCCGAGTATAGACTAAATGTTGACAAGATCACTTTCAATCAAAGATTTTCGAGACTATTCTCTAGAGAAAAAAAAAGCTGGCATAAGTAACCATTTATGATTTTAGCGGAGATACCGAACTTTTTAAGTTTTTCTTCGTTTAATAATCAACCATTAAGAATTCTAGAAAATTTAAAGTCAGATTTCTTCTACAAACACAAGGAGTCAATTGAAAAAACTTTCGCAATCATCGACCTCATGAACACTTTTCAATGGAAATTATGTTTTTTTTTGAGTGATTCGGCACAATCTAATTCCAAGAAATAGCAAAATAATTTTTAAAAATATTATTAAATCAAGATCTTCCACAAGATTTTAAAATCTTGAGTACAGAATGCACATTCTTTTATAATAATCGAATCAGATGAATTTATATCCAAAGATCTTGCTTACAAGATGTTCAAGACTTTGAATGTGTTGCATCCGTACTCAACAAGATGTAGAAGAATTGAGTTGTTCTATTTTTAATTCGATTCATATCTTCTTTGCAATAAGAATCAAGAAGTTTAGGTACAGATTTGGATATATCCTTCATTAACATTCAAATTGAAATGTGTCAAGTTTATATTGAAAGATTTATTTTAATACTTTTTATTTCTATATATCAGCATAACAAGCGAAAAAAAAAAAACTTTTGAATTAAAGCATAGGTTTCCTGTTACGAAAAAAGAAATAATAAATGTTTAAAAACTAACATGATTAAAAAAAAAACAAGAACTAATTGTCAATTGAAGATTTTAATGTTTTCATTTCTTCTTCATTTATTATTGTTAATTGATTTTTCTTTTCTTTTTTAGATTTAATATATAAAATCCAAACTTGAATTAAATGTCCACTCATAATTGCACAAAGAAATAAAATAATTACCCAACCCTAAAATATAAAATATTCATATTGATTTTTTAATTTTTTTTTGTTTTTTATAAAAATAAATCATTTAAAAATCTTTACACGCCAAATATCTGTTGGATTAGTTGTTAAATACACTAAACCATATGTAGCAAAACTAATGATACCTGCTGTTGACCACATAATTCCAAGAAGTGATCCAATAAATTGAGGTGGAAAACTTTTTAAAAAATAAAATTATCAATAAACAAAAACAAAGAATTTAAAATTTATATTTACACAGTAGCAATTAATGCTTGACTTCCAGCCACAAGTATTGTACGTGAAAAAGTTAAAATAATTAAAGCTATTATAGCTGCAAATATTGATTGAAACATACAAGTAATACAAAGAGCTACAGAACCAATCCATGTAAGTGTTTGTAATATTGAAATATTAAACATTTTTTGTGTATAACCTTAATAAACAGAGAAAAATATTCAAATGAATTATCAAAATATAAATTTAACAAACCACGATAAGCTTTATAATCAACAATAAAACCACATAATGGTGCAACAATAATTCCAAAAACAGCAATCATATTGTAAATGCGTGTATAACGAGTAGCTATGAAATAATAAAATGATAGAAAAAAAGTTTAATAATAACGTTTTCTTTTTTTTTTCTAAACTACGTGTATAAAGTCTTTGTACAACATGTTTGACCAGTTTTTGTCCACTTATAAAAGTTACTGAAGAAATCAAAAGTGAATCAGAATAGGCTTTCTTCTGTTATACATAATGACTTTCTAGTGTTGTACAGAATTTAATTTTCTATTAAATCATACATTGCGGTAAGTTATAGAAGTCAAAACGATCAAATTCCATATGCCCTTTTCGAGCAATTACTCTTTATGTAAGGCGGTATTTAAAAAAAAAACACTTTTTTCGAATATTGATATTTAGAATGTAATAGATTTGTAGTAACAGGGGCATAACTAGGAAGAGCGAGTGGGGCGTTACGCTCCCCTCTCTGCTTCTGAAAATTTCGTTTTATAGAAAGAAAGCTCTTTTTTTTTACAGATTATAACTGTTGAATTGATATGAATGAATACATTACGCTCCCCTACTTTTGAGACTTTGAGCTCTTGGAAGATTACGCTTTCCCTGTTCTGGGAACATAGGTACATCCTGTGTAGCAATATGTAAAAAAAAAGAGAAACAAATTGGGTATTTTTTTTAGAGCAAGTCTCTCTATCTCTCTCTAAAAAAGGCTTTCTTAAGGTTTGATTTGAGACGATTTTTACCAAAATACAAAATTGAACTACATGAGAAATTCTGTATAGATGCCATTTTTAGTCGCTGTCAAAGGTTTGCTCCTAATGAATTAATTTAAAATCAAAAAAAAAAAAAAAAATTTTGAAAATACAGTTAGAAAGAATATAAAATTCTGATTCTAATTGATTAATTTTACTTCTCTCCAGTGACTTATAAAACAACAAAAATTGATCAGTCATGTGGTACAAAGACATTTTACACAGATGTTATTATGCTAAGCACCTAGCTCAAATTCAAACAGTGATTTTAATAGCACGTAGAGTTTTCTATCTAATACGTTCTATACTAGATGAATCAGATACAGTCAGAAAATGGTAGAAAGTTAGACGCAAGAATCCGATGATTGGATTTATCCAGTTCCTGCCCGAAATCTGTGGATTCGGGCGTTGAAATTATTCTATTGGCTAATAAAAAAAAACACTATAGAAAAATAAATACATATTCACCTAATTGGTTATTATTTCCAGTTAAATGTAGAAGCCATTTATACCAAATAACTGGAAGAAATGATATTGTAAGAAGTAGACAACTAAGAAAAAGTGTTACAACAATAAATAATGGATTTATTAATTGTTGAATTAAAGTATCATGTGAAGTTATTGTTTTAACTATAATAGAAAATATTATTTATATAAAAATTAAATTTATTCATTCAAAAAAAAACAAAAAAATTTATAAACCTTCTTTTTTTATTGATTTTGATTTTAAAATTGAATTCATACAAGTAAAACGCCAATCAAGAAAAAGCATAGCACTACCAAACATTAATATTGCAAATGATGCCCATATAAACGCCAATGTAGAAAGAGAAATGAAATTTTTTTCAATTAATATCTATATAGAAAATTTAAAAAAAAAAGAATTATAATAAATATAAACAATATTAGTTTTCTTACTTGAAATATTGCATACCATATTGAACCAGTAAGTTGTGCACCTGATATTAATGCTCTAAAAAAAAACAAAATTTAATTTAATATTTTTGATATAAATTCTAATTAATACTTACGTAACAAGACCTCGATTTTGACTAAAATTAGCCGATATAGAAAATGATGTAAGTAAAGTACAAATTCCTGTTAAAGATAAAAATATTGTATGGAATAGAAGAAGCCAATCACGATCTAATTTTAATATATAATAATAAATAAATAAATAAATAAATATTTCTTAAAGTATTTATTACTAGGTGTTACAAATCCAAGTGATAACCAACTGATTAGATGAAAAATACTAATAAAAAAAATCTTTTTTTTTTTTACAATTTAACTTTTAAAAAAATTTTACATGGCAATTAATTTTAAAGATCGAGGTCCAAGATAATCACTAATCATACCAACTATAATAGCTGGTAAATTATAAAATGCAATACCCAATGTAAAAGCAAGCTGAAATCAATCAAAAAAAATCTATGAAATTTCTTTTTTTTTATTATCAATATATAAACTAACTTGATATTTTTCCATTTGACCCGAACAGTCTTTTTTCAGTATCTTTGTATTATTGAATAGAATTTGTTCAGATGAATTTTTACATTCGGATTCATAAATACCATAACGAGGTAATTCACTAAATAATGATGCAAATCCAAAGATACTAAAAAATCAAATGATTAAATAAATCTTTTCTTAAAATAAACAAACCAATAAAATACTAACTTTCCAGCAACGAGATTACATTCAATTAGAATCCAAATCAATCCAAGTGTTTTCAAATAAGATTTATTTTTCATCTAAATTAATTCAAATGTATTTTTAAATACAACTTGAAAAAAAAAATCTCACATACATTATCCATTACAAATCGATTCTATTTAAATATCAAAATCACGTACTGTAGAATGAATGAGATAAGACAAAATATGGAATCCATTCTTTCTCCTTGACGTAATAACATTATTTATTATATAGCAGAACCGAGCAAACACAGAAGAAAAAAAAAAACATCAAACTATAGTCTTCATTTTCTCATGAATTTGAATTATTATTACCATGCATTGTTACCAAGAAACAGACCACAGAACAGTGAAAAAGAGGCACATACATCATCAGAAAAAAAAAATGCAAGCGATATGAAAAAAAAATCAAGAACAAGCAAATAGTTCCGTTGTTTGTTAATGTCGTTCTTTACACAAAGAGAAAAAAAAAAAGAATTTAGATCTATCGTAATTGTTGTCAATAACTAACAAACATAGATTCTGATTGATCTCAATAAATCGATCGTTGTTTTTTTTTTATTTGAGAAGATTATTGGAACAATATTTTTTCTTTCCATATATATTAGTTCAAATACTAAATAATTACTTATTCAGAAAAGACTATATATATATTAATGTAGCAATAGGAAAGAAAATGTCACGAATTGTTTATTTATAGTAACACTTAATAATTTAATATCAAGCTTGACTTATATAGAATAGAAAAAACTCTATAACTTTTAATGAGTTGTTATTGTAACGAAAGTATGATGAATAAATGATTTTTAGAAATAAAAAAAAAAAAATAATATTATCATGTAATTGTTCAGTTCTACTTATGAGACAATTAAAAAGAAAAATATTAACATAGTCATAAATATAACATTTAATCATCGCATAAAAAGAATTTATTGAAGAATGAGAAATATGATTACAATTGACGACATTTATATGCATTAAGTTAAATAATGAACAGATGAGAATAATAATAAATGATAAATTATAAGAAATTTATAACATACAATTTATTCATTTAGATTATAGATCAACTTTTATTATACTCGATAAAATAATGAATACTATTTTTGCAATTAGAGAAATTCTTTGTTTCTCAATAATTTCTTGATTAATAAGATGAAAATTGATTCATTGGTTTTTAATTATTTTAACAAAAAATACTTTCTTTTCTTAGGTAAAAGATTACATGTAATATATCATCTACATTGCCTTCGCTATTGTTGGAAGCATTTATTGTATAGCATGATGCTTCTCGTGAGAATTCGACATCCAAATGTGATTCTATTTTATTCCAGACTTGTAAATCTATATCATTATTAGTAATTTCTTTCTCGGAACTTGACGATTCAAATCCCATCTGAGCAAAATTATTGTTCTAACTATTCATTGAGCTATCTTCTCTACATCAATTGGCATATAATTCATAGCAAAATTTATCTCAAAAGCAACACAAATATACATATCTCAACATTATAAAAGGAGCTTAGATAGCTCGAAGCACACATATCAATGGTGCATGTTTCGAATTGGAGTCACACACGACCCGAAGGAATTACACAGTAGATTGCAATAAAATTAGAATGTGATAGAAAGAATTGTAGGGAATAGTCGAATAACTACCATTTTCTCTCTTCTTTTTCGAAGAGAAAAAAAAACAGTTGTTTTTAGACACACGAGAGAAAAAGCAGCCGGAATTTTACCTCGTCTGTCTCATTCTAACTGCGCAAATATATGAGAGAAAGAAAAAAACAAAGTTGATAAATTTACACAGTTCGTCGAGAAAGAAAACTATCCATGTGCTGCAATAAATAGAAACGAGAAAACAATAACCTAGCACATAAGGAAAAGATCAATAAATGCATTTATCGAAAGACGAATGTACAGTTAGAGCTACTCTCTAATAAAATCGAATATGTTAAACATTTTTTTTTATTTATTTTTCAATTGTCAAAATATTAATGTATTTCAACTCTCGTAATTTCTCCTTAAATGTTTTCTATAGAGTCAAACGCGAGCTAACTTTACAACACAATCTATCGATTCGATTCGATTGATAAAAACATGTTTGACGACTTTCATATATACGTATATTCTTTGTTTAGAATCTTGAAAAATGTCATTAGAATTAAAACATAGTAATCAAATACACAAATATTGATAACTTAATGTGGACTTATATTTATTTCGAATAGGTCTATTACTTTAAAAATAATCAACAATGAATTCTAAAATCATTTCAGAACATCTGGGACGTTTCTTATATTTTGATATTACATGTAGGTGTTCTTCTTCTCTTCACTCACACCCTTCACTATTGAACAAAGGAAACAAAATGGGTTCTTTTATAACTTTATTATTTCACCTAAAAAAAAAACAAGGTGTTAGCACAAGTTCTATGGGATTAAAATGCCGAACACGATGT